CCCTAGATAGATTCGGACAGATTAGTAGACCCTAATATACTTTGTTCACAGTAACCAAGAACTCTCACATACAGTAATCAAGAACTGTTGTCCACCATATCTAGTAAAACAACTGATCTTGGGCTCACCATAGGTAGGCCCTTTTCACGTCACTCGAGCTCTTCATGCCTGAAAGTGGCAACCCTGTCCCAATCCCCACCCTCAAACAGGACCCCTGCTTTGCCATCAGTTATCCTCTGCACAATCCCACAATATAAATATATTCCCCTGCCCACGGTGGGCAGTGCCCACTAGTTTGTTTTATATGAAAAACTAGTGGGCACTGCCCACCGTGGGTAGGTGAGCGGGCCTGTCCCACAATATATGTAAAACAGATTGTTCGGATTCTTGACAATAGCAATCATGCATGGTAACAGCAGCGGAAGCTCTGACGCTTTTGCTTTCACTTTCACCATCTTCGCATCGAACTCTGAACCCTTCAAAATCTCCCCCTTTTCGCCTGAAATCCGCCCATCAGGCTAGTAGCTCCTTCTCAAAGACATTTTCTGGTACTTGTAGAGGTTGTGTCTTTTTTTCTCTTTTGATGATGATGATAATGATGATCATAATGGTGCTGTTTTTTCGACATCTTTTGAGGTATCTCTTTTCAGTTCTTGTTGAAGACCCTCTTCACCATTGCACAGGCCTCTGCCACCTAGGATTTCAGAGAGGTTGAACTTGGCTCTGGAGATGATCTTGGAGGGGCAGGGGAGTGTGGATAATGATTTTGGAGTGGAATTAGTGAAATTTTTGTGGCCTAGAATGGTGGGATTGATGGGTTTGGAAATAGAAAGAAGCAGCCATGAAATTTGTTGGGAATTTTTCATTTATCTCACAAGGTTATGAAAATATTGCAAAAATCAATCCATAAACAAATAATTCAATCTTTATTTAATAGATAATATATAATTACATTAATGCCTAAAGTTAGTTACCATATCCATTCAATTTAATTTTCCATTTCTATGGGTTTGATTCAGATAGAGAAATGAAAAACATTCATATAATAAATAACTAACTCATTTAATTCTTTAATTCCCGTAGCTTGTACGTTTTTTATAGAGAGAGATAAAAACATATATTATAGTTCACGCAACTGTCCAAGTGGGTATATATTGCGTTTATGTTAGTATATATGTAACACCCCGCTTTTCCATAAATATCAGAGTGCGTTTTTCGCAAAAAATTTTCTAATAAAACATATTTATTTGCGGAATCCTTTTCGGGATGCTACTAAAAACCATTCATTGCTGTGAAAATCCGTTATCATCATTTAATTTTACCTGTAAAGAAAAACGGATTATTTAAAATCATACCAGCATGTAATACTGTATAAAAGTCTGTCTGATAAATCAGTTCAAATATAAAAAAGAAACTGACATGCTAGTTGAAACATCGTAAAGTGACAACGGAAGTCAAGCGTGGTAAACCATAACTGTACAACAATGTACAATGGCTGATAGCCATATCCGTGGCCACGATCCACCAACCAGCTCACTCCTCTATCCGACCCTGTAACCTGAAAAACATAAACATCATGGGGCGTGAGCACTAAAAGCCACTAGGGGTGCACAAACTGCGGTTAACCGACCGAAACCGAAAATTCGGTTTCGACCGAAACCGGAACCGAAATATTGGTTCGGTTTTCGGTTACTAGTTTCTCCATATTTCGGTTTTCGGTTCGGTTTGGCTATAACCCTTCGGTTAACCAAACCGAACCGAAAACCGATAATATACATATAATTAAAGGGCCCAATATATGCTGTATTATGCAGGCCCAATATATGATGTATTATGCAAGCCCAAAGCTGCAACATGCCACCCACCACAAATCATAAATCAGGCCCAATTTATTATCACTCCTCTTCCATCGATCTGTATACAAGAATTTGTCAACAGAAGTACAGAACTCATCCTCCACGAAAAGAAAACCCTACCTAGCATCTCTCCGCCCGTCCGCCGCCACGCACAATATCACTCGCTCCATCTCCGCATCGACGCTCTGAAGTCCTATTTCCCAATTCGCCGCTCTCTGACTACTGAAATCCTAAATCGCCTCGCTCGGTCCTCCTGCTCCCGACAACACTCCACCAGCAGACTGTCAGTCGCCGGCGAAGCTCGTCTAATCGAATGAGTTCGCCACCTAAATCCCCTCGTAAGGGATGCAACTCAGGTTCGTTATTTTCTTTTCTAACATTCAATCTCTCATTCTTCTTGCAAGTTTTAACTCGTGACTTTGAATCTCTCGTTCGTAATTGTACTGGTTGTACCCAATCAATTCAAGCTGGTGTTTGTTTTTGGTTACTTTTTATGCCAATCAATTCAAGCTGGTGTTTGTTTTTGGTTACTTTTTATGCCTATGATTTGAGCTGCATTCCAGTAGTTTAAGCTTTGGTGCTCGATTGTGATACGTGGTGATTCCTGAACCGATTCAAATATCACGATGATGTCTTTAGTTGCTTTTCTTGTTCTTTGAGTTATTCTATCTATGATCTCTTTTCTATTGGTAATCAGTAGTTGAGGGCTCTGAAATATTTTTGGGTTTCCAAATCGTTAACATGATGAACCAGTTACTAGCTTGATTGGGTGCTCTGACCTATTTTTTGTTAATTTGCTTCTATTACCAAAGGGCCAGCACTCAACAGCATTACCAGTTTTTTTCTAACTTGAATGTGGAATCAAGTAGCTTTAGTTCTTGAATCAAGTACCAAAGGGCCAGCAGCATTACAAGCATCATTACTAGTTTTTTTCTGTTAATTTGCTTCTATTTACTGTAGCTTTAGTTCTTGAATGTGAAATTTAATTATGAAATTAACTTGAATGTGGAATCAATGTGGATAACTGATTAGTTGCATAATTATGCATTTTGTAGGTACAAAACGCCAAAAAGGCAGTTCGGGTCCTTCGGGATGTTCGAGGACTTCAATTTCAAGTACACTACGACGTGCATCATCGGATGACCCACAACCAGAACCGGGCTGTGAAAATGCCACGTTCGAGGAAGAACCCGTGGAAACATCTAATGCATATGAAGATGAAGAAGGAGAATCGGATGAAAAAGATGATGGGGTTCCAAGAAAAAGGACTAAAAGAAGGGCAGAGGCATGGAAGCACTTTGATCTGATAAGGGATAAAAATGGCATGCAAAGGGCAAAATGCAAGCATTGTGAAAAAAGTTACGCGGCCCATACAAAATTGAACGGTACGTCTTCTATGAATCACCATATGAGCAAGTGCAAAGGGCATCCTAATAATAAAGGTGATGAGACAATAACCAAGTTTTGGCAAAATATAAGTGTGGGCACTAAAGAAGGGAGTTCTAATTGGAAATTTGATCAAGAATCTATTAGAAAAGCCATTGCTCGCATGGTAATTGTTGATGAATTGCCTTTTCGATTTGTTGAGAATGAAGGTTTTAGACAACTTATGTGCATTTCATGTCCCCAGTTGATTGTGCCATCGAGAATGACTATAGCAAGAGATTGTTTGAACATGTTTGTTGATGAAAAAAATCGTCTAAAATCTTTGATTAAGTCGTTGGGGTTGAGAATGTCTTTGACAACCGATTTGTGGACTTCGAATCAAAATCTTAGTTACTTGTGTTTGACGGGTCACTATATTTATGATGAATGGAAGTTGCATAAGTTGATCCTCAATTTTGTTCCTTGTCCTAAACATAAAGGTGATGAAGTCGGTTATTTGATTGAGAAGTGTCTTCTTGATTGGGGAATTGATAAAGTGTTTGGTATTACCGTTGATAATGCTAGTGCGAATGATGTGACTATAGCCTACTTGAAAAGACGATTCATAAATTGGGGCACTTCTATCTTGAATGGAAAATACTTGCATATGCATTGTGTTGCTCATGTTGTGAATCTTATAGTTAAAGAAGGATTGAAACATACTAATTCTTCCATTGATCGTGTTCGGGCGGTTGTTCGCTATGTGAGGTCGTCACCAATGAGATTGAAGGTGTTTAAAGAGTTAATCGTGGAGGAAAAAATTGAGAGTAAAAAATCATTGTGTCTTGATGTTGCAACTAGATGGAACTCTACTTATTTGATGCTTGACACGGCTTTGATTTTTAAAAATGTTTTTGATAGATATGAGATCCAAAATTCCGATTTTCGGAAAGATTTTATGTCAGGTGGAACTTATGAAAAAATTGGTTTGCCCACCAAGTATGATTGGACCGTTGTGGAAAAATTTGTGAAAGTGTTGCGTCATTTTTATGATCTCACCCTCCGAGTTTCGGGTTCACTCTTTGTGACTTCTAACATTTTCTTTGATGAAATATTTGAAGTCCATGAGCATTTGATGGAATGGATGTGTTGTGATGATATTGATTTGGTTGCAATGGCAAGAAAAATGAAAGAGAAGTTTGACAAATATTGGGTTGATGTAGAGAAATTTAATATGATCTTGTATGTTGGGTTTATGCTTGATCCCCGTCACAAGTTTGGCGTCCTACATTACTATTTGAAAAGTATGTATGGCTCGGCTCGTGGAGAAGAGATAGCAAATTTAGCTAAGAGTGCTCTTTATGAAATTTTTGATGAGTATAAAAAAAATAGTGGCTTGGTGTCATCAACTTCTACTTCACCGCCTTCTTCGAATGTCGAAAATGTTTCGTCGAGTGTAATGGATAAAAAGATGCGAATCCAAGAGTTGATATCCGGGATTGGGCTTGAGGAATCGGAGCTAGATACATATCTAAATGAACGCTTGGAAAAGGCTTCGAAAGGTTTTGATGTATTGGAGTGGTGGAAATTCAATAGTCGTCGGTTTCCCATTTTATCCAAATTGTCTCGTGATGTTTTGGCAATGCCCTTATCTACCGTAGCTTCGGAATCTACATTTAGCACCGGTGGTCGTGTGATTGATGATTTTCGAGCTTCGATGACCCCTAAGATGGCTCAAGCATTAATTTGCACTCAAGATTGGCTCCGTCGTAGTCCTTATGGTTCGAGTTCAAAATCTTCCTTAGAGGAAAATTTGGAATTTATTGAGACGATTGAACAAGGTGATAAAAAATCAATTTTTTGTTTTGTTATTTTGTGCAACTTAATTTATTTTTTATATTGTAGAAATTGTCTAAATTTATTGTTTACTGGGGGCTGTGGGGCTG